CACAGGCTGAATGACACCTCTCCAGCTTAGCTTTCTGGTTTTCCTTGTCCTTTTCCAAAGCCAAAATTAAGGGATCTGGTGGAGCTATATTAATTTTGCATTCCGTCCCCCACACCGAGTGGTTTCTTAAAGTGAAAACCATATCTGCATACATCACTTCATCCAATTTTCCTTGTCGTCTTAAAAATAACATTAATTGCAACAACATGCAATTCCAAGTCCCATTTTTGGGCCATTTTCCCTGATCCTCCAAGGTATATAATGGCTACCATAGGTTACAATATTTCATTAAAGTCTTTTTATTACTGAGCCCCTGGGGGATGCTCCTAATTCTTGCCAGTGAGCCCGAACACATCCCAAAGGCCTCTTTTCTATTATTTCTCTGCTCTATTTCCCATTATTTCCTTATACACGCTACGCACACGCACACTCACACGGGATCCCCAAAATTCCCCTCACAAGGTGATGTTATGGGGGGTCCCAAGGGTGTTGTGTCAGGGGGTCCCCGGGTTTACATAAATGGGGGGGGGTCTCCCCCTCACAGCGGCGTTGCCCGGGGCCGTGCTCACGGCAAAGGGCCGGGCCTGTAGACAGGGGCGGGTAAAAGTCAGGGGGCGTGGTCATCGCGGCGGGGGGGCGTGGCCATTCTGGGAGGCGGGCTGTGGGCGGGGCGACAGCGGTGTTGCCCTGGCAACGAGGATGGTCGGTTGGCCCGGTCAGTTGGAGGCGTGGCCACAGCGACCGGGCTGTAACCGCCAAACCACAGCCTCAAACCGGCACCAACCGGCACCGGGAGTCCCACACCCCGGTACCCCCCGGCTCCGGCACCCCCGAAGCCACAGTCACCAGCACCCCCAAACACTGACACCCCCAGACACCGGCACCCCTGAAACAACAGAGACCGGCACCCACAGACACCAGAACCCTGAAACCTAGGCACCCCCAAACCCCAACGCCCCATTCTTGTGGGGTGTCCGGGTGCTCTGGGGGGGGCTTCAGGCTGCCTGTGGGGTGCTCAGGTTCTCCCACGTCTGCTTCAGGAAGGGGAAGAGGAAGATGATGCAGGCCACAATGAAGAGGGTGGGGGCCATGAGGAAGAGTATGGAGGGCTTGAGGCTGATGGTGCTGTCCTGGGGAGGGACAGGGACAGGGTCCATGATACCGCACACGGTGGCTCCCCCAAACCCCTGTGTGCCCCCCCCCCCCCCGTACCTGGCCCAGGGTCCCCTCGTGGTTGGGGTCAGCGAAGTCGATGGAGTCATCAAAGCAGGGGGAGACGCTGAAGGGGCTCTGACCCCTGGGGCACCTGCAGGGGGCAGGAGGTGGGGGACACGGGGACACCGGCAGGACTGGGGGCACTGGGACATGGCCAGGGGGCCAATGGGGACATGGCCATGGGGCAGAGGGAAATGGCTGGGGAGTACTGGGGACATGGACAAGGGGACACTGGGGACAATGGGGACATGGCCATGGGGGCAATTACAGGCACAAGGGGTACCTGGCCATGGGTACAGGGGGGACATTGCCAGGGGGCATAGGGGATATGGACAAGGAGACAAGGGGGACATGGCCATGGGAACAGGAGCCACTGGGACATGGTCATAGGGACGGGGGGAAACATGGGCTGGTGGGACATGGCCGGGGGGCAATGGGGATGTGAATGGGACAAACGTGCATATGTATTATTGAGAAACTGTAAGGCAGATCTAGTGTTTGCCACGTTCTGGGAGCTGATGGCTATTTAGCTTGGCCCAGCTGACAGGCTTTGCTCCTTGCCCAGAATGGTGGTTGTGCTGGGAGGATGGAGGGCAATCATTTCTGGTAACTTTGTTTCTTTGTGTATATAAATATTCCCTGTGATAAGCCTGGGCTGGCTCATCACACTAGATGGCAATCCATGCTTCCCTTCCCCCTGCCTTCCTCTCCCTCCTCCCATCTTTACCAGCACAGCAGATTCCAATAACAAACCCATCATTGTGAAAGCCAGGTGTCATCCAAATTCATCTGCTGAAGCGTTTGATCTATCTGCTGCTTCAAGATGCAGGTTTCAGAGTATTTTATGAGATGTACTTCACAGCTTTGTACCATACAAGACATTCTGCAGCATTTCATGAGCTGCATTTTATAAAACTGTAGAATGTTTTTAAAAGGACAAGTCCCAGTACAGGCTTGCATAGATATGAAAGTACGCAGAGAAAATGTGAACACCCTCAAAATACTGTTAACGCTTAACCTTCCAGAAGATCTCTGCTGGGCTATTTATTTTGTAATGGAGCTTGTGCAGTCCACAGGGAAACTAAAATGGGGTATAAGGCCCAGGAGGTGCTAATGGTGCCTCTCAGCTGCCTGAGGAGCGCACACGATTCCCAGCTGCAGGCCAGGAGTGGGGAAGGGAGGAATGCAGAGGATGGTGGGGCCAGAGCTCCAGGGCTGTGGAGCCCAGGGGACTCAGGAGAGGCCCTGCCCTGGAGCTGCTGCTCTCCATGGCTTCCAGCTCCTCCAGCTGCCCCACACCGGCAGCCACGGTGTAAACTCGGGAGCCGCTGGCAGTGCCTTGCAGCGGGTCTGTCCTGGGCTGCTGCTCACCTGGCTCTGGGGGCTGCTGCCCCACATGCTGGGCCCGGGCCCTGACCCCCTGGGCAGGCTGCCCCCAGTCTGGGACTTGCAGGTCCCCAAGGCCCAAGAGCCCCAGCACAGCCTGCAGCAGGCTGTGCAGCTCTCTGACATTCACATGTCCCACGTCAGACGTGATGGCAGTGTCCAGCAGCTGAGACAGGCTGAGTGGTGCCATTGCTGCTGCTGTGTTCCACAATGGGAGTCTGACCTGTGGGCAGAAGACACAATGGGCAGCTGGCGGCCTTCCCCCTGCCACCCCGGAGTGGGGGGCCCACTGCAGCACTTACTGCCCAAGGACGGGGACTCTCTGAACTCCATGGCCTCGCTGCTGCTGGCACCTGGCACCCCACACCAGGGTGATGGTGCCAGAGTCACTGAGTCCTGCGGGTGGTGGCACTGGCCCCTCCCCGGGCACACACACCCCTCCCAGTGTCGCTGTCCCCTCCAGTAACCGGGAATCATACCCCTAGACCAACGAGCCACTGCGTGGGTCTCACCTCACACCCACCCAGATGTTGAGCAGGAGGAGGTGAGGGCTGGCTGAGCAGGAGGATGGGGAGGGACACCCATCCCCTGCCAGAGCAGATCTCCCCCCATCACTCACCATCTTCTGCAGCTCCTCAGCAGGCTCCTGCACTCACTCCTGGTTGTTGCTGTCCACTCCTTGCAGCTGGTCGATGGCCCTGGGATCCATACTGGAGCTCGGGGCTATTGGCAGAGTCCCTGCTCCCTGGAGGTCTGCCCAGGAAACCTTTCTTGGGCAACATATCCCTGGGTTGCTGGTCTGGGTGCCAGCAGCTCCAGCCGCTTTCCGTGGGCTGCTGGCCGGGATGAGAACAGGACAAGACTTTCTCTCTGGAGTCTTGGCCTCAGAGACAGCAGCTTCAACCTCTTCCTCTGTGCTGCTGGCCTGGCTGGCAGTGGGAAAAGACTTCCTCTGTATAGTCTCGGCCTCACGGACAGCAGCTGCAGCTCTGCTCCGTGAGCTGCTGGGTTGAACATTGGAACTTCCAGACCTGCTCGCTGGGCTGGAGCGCTGAACCTTCATACCCCACTGTGCCCTCAACTGCCCCTCGTGCCGTGCACAGGTATCTTTGGCACGGGCGCTGTCAGGGTTGGGCTCCTGCTCGGGCCGGCGCCGCAGCTCCTCGCGCAGGGCTGAGATCTCGTGCCGCAGTGCCTGCAGGCTCTCTGGGAGAGACAGTGGCTGCGTGGTTCCGAGTTACCAGCTGGGCTTAAACCACAAGTTTCTTAGGCAAGCTAGGTAAATAAAGTTGAAATTGGGAAGAAGGCAGCTTTTTCTGCAAGCAGAACGCACACCTGCAGGATCTCAGGAAGTGCTGGCCACAGTATTGGCTGCTTCTCATTCTTAGTTTACCATTTTCTGAGTGAATGGCTGCGTGGTACTTATTTGCCAGATGGCGTTCAACCACAATGCTACATTTACAATATAACGTATGATAAAAAAACTGTAATGGTCAATGTGTAGTTAAGGTTAAGTAAAAAGGCTGCTTCACACAAAAAGCCATTCTTTGCATCCAGAGCCTATTTAAAAATGTAGTGTGTTTTGAGTGTTCCCTAGAGAAGAGGTAGGCAGCCAGTTTAATTAGTACAGGGGTCTTGCCCAGAGTTACAGAATTGATGGCTGTCATTTTGTCTAATGTCTAATGTCTTAAAAACAAATGTAGGTGGGCGTAGAGTGCAGGGAAACACTGTCTAGAGAGGAAACTGAATGTCTTAGTTTTGGGGTAGCTGGAGAGCTGCTCAACTGGGACAAAAACTGCCTGTTGATTGCAAGTGAGGGCCTTGCTCTCACTGTAAGGGGCTGGCTGTTCTGCAAGAGTGGGATCAGTCCGTGCTGCCACAACAGCCCCCCTTCCATAGCCTCATGGCTCTGCAGCTCAGCTTTGTGCTCCTCATTGCCTCCATGGTGGAGCAGTTCAGGGAGCCCATCTGTCCAAAGCGTGGTCCAAAAAATGGGAATTGATCCGGGCAATTCGGGGTTTCCCCTCACAAGGGATGAAAAGCTATGCATGCGTAGCTGGAGGGTCCTTTGTAACACCAGGGTAACACCAAAGGGTGGGAATAAAGTCACTAGTAAGGCCCTGTGTTTTGGAACTTTTTAATTGACAGAACAACTTAGAATCATAGAATAATTTGGGTTGGAAAGGACCTTCAAAGTTCATCTAGTCCAACCACCCTGCAACGCGCAGGGATGAGTAGTAATGTCCCTATTCACTGCAGATCATCAGGTATTTCCTTGGCATCCAAACTGATTTACGGAATAGAACTTCATAACTCACAAAGACTTATATAGCACGTATGTTTATTGCGGGGCTGGATGCGAAGGGGATCGCTCCTCCTAACTAGCACACTGAGAGCTAAACAAGCTAGATATTTATTATATACAAACATACATATTCATCAGATTTTACAAGTATAGAAGGAGATTATTACAATTAGTTCCAAGAACTCATTAATACCATTCCCCTCCCCTCTATGCCTGCGCACTGCCATCTGGTGGTCTTAGGCTGGGGTCTTCTGGATGAAGTAAGAGGTCTTCCTCACCATGCACTTTTCACCCTTGGCTCAGTTTCCCCAGCTGGCAACCTCAAGTCTTACAGAGACTAGCTGAAACAGGTTCTTGTCAGACATTCACCTTCTTGAGGGAAAAGGGTCCTTGATTTTAAACAACGTGTTTCAGCTACCTATTCTATTCTGAGTTATAGTTTAACCACAAGACTAACAAGAACAAGAACCTACCTGTTCCCTATACTAAGTTAAGACAATCAATGCATAGTTTGAAGAAAACTCTTACCCTTTCCTTAGTCCGTTACTATTCCTCACATCAAAACTACCACTCATATTACCACCAGACTCAAAATAACCCCAACGCTTCATGAAACTTACAGTCAAATGCGAAAGGTGCCACAATCTGACACAGCACTAGGAAGGGAACTCTCATATCCATGTACAGAAACATCCTACCTGTGCTATCTCCACGCAGTCTTCACCCTTCATGGCTTTTGCACAGCACAGAAGTGGCTTCAGATTCAGTTTAACAAAAACCGGGGCGGGGGGGAGGAACAGGAACCGTTGTTACAGGAACCAGTGCCAGTGCGGCCAACCTGAAAACCGCACTGGGCGTCACGGAGCTGGCCTGCCCATCAGCAGCTCACCCAACGGAGCCGCGGCTCCCCCTGACCCCCGGCTCTGCGCCTTGGTCCGCCGGGACACCGCTCACCACCGGCCTCAGCGCACCACGTGACACACCCCGCCCGCTCCCCTCTGTCACGTGGCAACGGCAGGCGTGCGGGGCGGGCCGGTACGAGCCTCTTCCCTCACGTGGCCGCGGCGCCGGACCCGGAAGTGGTGTTCGTTGTGGCGGCGGCGGCGCCTGGCGGGATGGGGGAGTCGATCCCGCTGGGCGCGCCGGTGCCGGTGGAGCAGGCCGTGCTGGAGACTTTCTTCTCCCACCTGGGCATCTTCTCCTATGACAAGGCCAAGGACAATGTGGAGAAGGAACGGGAGGCCAACAAGAGCGCGGGGGCCAGCTGGCTGTCGCTGCTGGCCGGGCTGGCGCACCTGGCCGCAGCCGAGAAGGCGTACCACAGCATGACCTTCCTGGGCCAGAAGCTAGGTACCGCGGGGCCCGCGCACCCCCGGGGGAGGGACCCGTCTCCTCACGCCATGCCCCCTTCCTTGCTCCTCGGGTCCCCGGTCCTTCCTCCTCACTCATGCCTCAGGTCGCTGCTGGGGGTTGCAGCGCCCGCGCCTGCTCCCGGCCTGTCCCGGGTTTAGCTCCGCAGGTATCGTAGCCCGGTGAGGTGAGCTGAGCTGTCAGCCGGCAGTTGCAGAGGGCTGGGTACCATCGGCGAGATGCGTGTCTGCGCCTGAAACACAAGAGCAAGTGTCCGTGGGCCCAGTGAGAAATCGTCTGTGCCATTTGGGCTGCCCCTAACGAGTAAATGAGAGTGTAGTGCAGGTCGCACAGTAGCTGTGCGGATCGCTGCATCTCATTGTCTGGTAGGCCACCTACCTGCCGCTCCCGAGATACAGCCAAGGGTGTTTCAGTGCTGGGATGCTCTGGCTGAGATTTGGCAAAGGTGAGCTCAGTGGGGTGACCAGAGGTTTAAAGCTCTTCCATGTCATAGTTCCAGGGCCTAATATTAGATGCATATATGTAAGTACTCAGGGCTGGAGACAGACTCATAAAAATTGTTATTCATGTAGACTCTGCAGGATCTCGGGAAGTTTTGGCCACAAACTTGGCTGCATCTCACTCTCCCAGTATGTGAATAGAAAAATCCCCAGCTGGCATAGGATGAGCTGTCATCATGTTGCCATCTGAGCAAAGCTGCTTATTTTCCCTTTGAACTGCAGACTGGCATGGAAAACGGATCAAAGGGTATAAGTCTGATGTGTAATGCAGTGAAGCATCAAGAGAATTCTGCTTTGGTTTAAGTGGTGACTTGGAACTATTTTATGTGAAGATCTTTACAGACATAAGTCTATTTGTAAGGCTGACTTTAGAACGCAATTTTGGTGCTTGCAGGAAGGATAAAATTGGCAAGGGAATGGACGAAGTTTTGTTTATTTATATAGTTCATGAACTACAACAATACATGATTCTTCATTCTGCCCATGACCTGGGGGCTACTCTTGGCCTAGGAAGGTAGCTGTTTCCTGATAGTCAATTCTTTGCCTTTCTGCCTTAAATTGCTAAAGTTGCTTTTGGCTATTATGTGTGTAAAATGGAAGTGAAAAGGCCTATCCACCATTACAAAATTGATAAGCAGTTTTAAAGTGGAACTTAAATTTGGAGTATCTTTGAAAGTTCCATGGATTGAGTCTCTGTGATCCTTGCTCTGCAAGTTGAGTGCCACAGGAGCACATAAGGGCATCTGTAAACAAAGGTCATGAAATAAGGTTAGTACTTTTGTACAGTCTTTTGGTTGTGTCAAAGTTTGACTCTACTTTTGTCATGTATATATTTTTAAATTCATCATAGTGTTAAGCAGCCAGAAAGAAGCACAGACTTTTTTGCCCCCCCTCAATTTTAGTTATGGATTAACCTGCACTGTGGTCTCACTGAGATAAACCGTGATTGGTTTCCCTTTGAATTCTAGTTTACATTATGATTGTTGTAGGGACTGGAAGCATTTGGTTTGTACACAAATGTTAAGTGGATCCTGTTTAAAGGTTGCTTTGCAAATTTGAGTGCTTCATGATTGAGGTATTGGTAGGGGAATTTCCTTGAGAAGATACAGAGTTATTTATAGGAGTGGATGCTGTTTCATGATGACTTGATTCTTCTGACTTCCACAGATACATGACTTGAAATATTGTTATCATAGTGGCAAATTTAGCTGGTACCTTGTTTTCTGGAAATGCCCTAACTGAGACAGATGTGAGGGAGTTGAAGTTTTGCAGCAGTCGCTGGCTGATGAAATATGAATTGGGAGAAGTATAACTTGCATGAAATTTTATAAAGTGCTTCTGAGTGTACGCTATGTGTAATTCGGTTACAGAATAATACACTGAAACCTGTTCCTTGATTAAAAAGAAATAAATAATGTGATCAAACACCTTAAGAACACCTGGGGGAAAACAGGCATGGTTCTATGCGATTTTTCCAGTATTGCTGTCTATTTTTGCTGTCCCTGGATTTTGGTAATACCTCCATATTTATCTGAACAGGTGGTCAGTCATTCTTCAGCCGAAAGGACTCCATCCGAACCATCTACACATCTCTGCATAATGAGCTGAAGAAGGTGGTGGCGACGGGTCACAATGCACTAGGAGGAACAGCTCCTCACTTGGAAGAGCTGCTTTCTCACCTGTCTGAACAGCTCTGTTTTTTTGTTCAGGCTCGGATGGAAATTGCTGACTTCTACGAAAAAATGTACATGCTCAGCACCCAAAAGTTCATTAACTCTGAGGAACTGGTAAACATTTTGGAATCCATCTTAAAGAAATACAGCTCAAGGTCAGTGCTTATTTGCTGGTAGTAAGTACTCAGGCATATGATCTGAAATAAAAAATGTTGAGGTTCAAAGGAAGCCTAAAGGCTTTGCTGCCCTTTGACTGCTGAGCAGTAGAGCCCCTTGCATGAGTTCACACATGAAGTGAATGTTGGTCAGCAGCAGCAGATGCATGAAGTCTCAAAATATGACTCTTGAAGAAGAAAAATGGAAAAGGGAGTGTTTCTGCTTATCATGTTCTAGGAGCTGTCTTCCTTATTCCTTAATTAATACTCAGCATGTTCACATTCAGCAGAGAGGAAGAGTCATTTTCCTTATAAAAGAGCTAAGACTTCTTGCACTTTTTCATTAAAGGTTGAGAGGAAACAAGACTTAATTCCATATGGACTTCAGTAAAACTGATATATATAAATAAAACAGGTATTGTGTGATGATTTTACTTTTTAGATGAGAGTATGTGTCTGCTTATTAATTCTAAAAGCTACACCTAGTAGGTGTAGCTTTTAGACCTGTAGCAGGTCTACCTAGCAGGGTTTTATGGTGCTCTGTTATCACTTCTCTTGAGAGGTATTTAAGCCAGTAGAAGGAGCACCTCTGAGTCTTTGGTCACTGCTGTTATGGTTTCTTGAAGTTAATGTCCAGTAGTTCCTGTTATAAGAATTCCAGGATGTTTCTAAATGACCATGGGATGGGTATTTCACATCTAACACATGTGAGCCTTGAAAGTGATGGCAGTTTAAAAAATGAGAGAATTTTTGAATGCTTGTCAACAGACTGAAATTCTGGTGCTCTATTTTAAAGTAAAACGAAGTAGCCATTGTGGGAATTTAACTTAAAAATGTAGGTTTTTCTTTTTTTAAATCTTCATTGTTGAAATAGTGTCCAAGAAAATATTTGGGGAGATTATTCTGAGGTCTTTTTTTCAGCTACCATTTTTTAAATGTACACCTAGGAAAAAATCAAAATAATTCAGTGCTGCTTTCGGAGATTCCAAATCAAAGCACTGCAGTTGACTCCCTTATTTAAAATTTTTAGGAATAACTTAGGCAAATTGCAACAGATTTTTTGGTATTTGAAAATCAAACCTAGTCTTTATGATCTTACTAGAGATTCTTTTTTTTTCTGCAGTTCTTGGTTTGTGAACCCTTATAATATCAGTTATTTGGTCCAATAAAATATGAAACTTACGTATTTTTTCCTTGGTGAGGTACATGTTAAAGAGTAGAGGGAGGTAAGTTTTTTGAAAACGTAATTTGTTGTGCACTGACCATCACCATCTGTTCTGAGCATGTGCTGGGTCAAACAGCTGTTAAAAATCTGAAAACCAAAACTGATACTTTGACAAAGTGACTGGAGACTGTTACATATAAAATGTTTTACTGTGCTGTTGAAATGAATTTCAGTGACAGCTCTGTACTTCTAAGTCATCATTATAACCTCTTTAGAAAAACAATCAGTGTCTCCCTGGGAAGAATACTGATGATCTTGCTTTGGGTTAATGAACAATCTCTAAAATGGACACATTCTAAGATGTTTTATTGCTGACTCAGTAGCTACTGTGTGGTCCTCCCCAGTCACAGAGTATCTCTGAAAAAAAGTGGGTCTAATGTTACCGTCCTTTAGCCCTCCTTTAGTTTCTTTGTGTCTCTGCTTAGTTTCTGGGGGCTGTTACGCTGATGTGTGCGGGCTGGAAGGCATTTCTGTTACACAGTCTGTTGTCCCTCTCAGGTGAAAGGTCAAATAAACTCATCCTTACCCAGTCTCTTCCCTCTGTCAATATATCCCTCACTTGTAGTTGAGGTTGTGTGCCATTATTTCAGCCAACTGTGCTTAGAGAGGGCATCTGATCTGTAGATAAATTCTGGCCTTGGTTTCTTTCATTTACATCTGAAAATAGCTGCTCAGATAATAGTAAAGGAATGACTTTAGGATTAATTGACTGTCAACAATAGAGTCATATTGTCTGGATCTGAGAAATCATTAACTCTTGAACAGTTTAAAGCTGTTTTCTTACTACTTATTGCTGACTTGTGCACAGCCATTACTAGACTCTGTTTTGCTATAGAATACAGCTGGAAAAGCAACTTTTCCTGATTTAACTGTTAGTTTGGGAGGGGTTTTCACTGAAATAATTAAACCAGCATCAGAAGCCAGATTCTTTAAAAGCTTAGTATAAAATGAATAAGTAACTAGTAAAACTATTTTGATGCAATTATTT